TTCCCTTTAAAACTAGTATATAACACATACCTCCCTTTTATTCTTTTTTGAATAGACGCCATGCCTGTCCCTTAGTGTGCTGTGTGGCGCAGCTGTAATCTTGCGGACCTGCGTTCAATTCTGCGGGCTACCAGTGAATGGTAACCCCGGCCATTCCTTGCACACACGGGGAGATTTGGAAGCAAAATAAAATAGTTTGTCACAGCAAAGAATATCCATTTTAACAAATGGAATTAAACTAAATCTTAAATCTAATCTATCTACCTTTCCCGTTCAACCCATAGCATCTTTTCCCCAAGCTTCCTTTCCAGCGTGACGAAGGTCCTCGGTTTGCGTGAATATTTCCCCCTTTTCCTTTCCTCTTCAGATTCGGGAGCCTCTGCGTCACGTCGACAACGGGCTGACCTCACGGGGCGCGGTGGTGGCCGGCAACAGCTCCCACGGGCGGCAGCGGGCGGAGTGCCAGCCGTCCAACGAGGTGGGGCCCGCCGACCGCCCGTGCGTCTTCGCCATCACGCTCGTAGGTAAGGGCGAGGCGGGTCGTTATTCCCTGAGGGTTTCGGGCGGCGGTCGGGGTGATTGCGGCCATTAGGAGGAGAGGATCCCGGCGGGCAGAGGGCAGTTACCGGGGATGGAAGCGAAGCCGGTCTGATGGCCGGGAATTTAGGCGCGCTGACGGAGGCGGCGATGGGGCGTGCGGTGGGCAAACATGATCGCTAATGGACATGCGGTGGAGGATGAGCGACGTTGGAAATTTGCATACAGACATTGCAGAACAACATGCACACACACACACAGCGCGCGCGCGCAAGCAAAACAAGCAAGCAAAGGCGCCACAGGTACATAAGAACATATATTACAAAATCTCCAAACAAAGTCCTCAGACAAAGAAGCACACGCACCCACAACGATGGCTGTCCGTGCCCCCCCTGCCATGGGAATTAAGCCACAAAATAATGTTTCTTTCGCTTTATTCACAACTAATGACTCTTTCTCCTTTGCCTCGTAGTACACGGATAACGAGTCAGTCACGCCGTTAATGAGCTTGATCTAGGGCCCTGCCTCATTCCACGGTCACGACGGCGGCGAAGAAGGAACGAGGCGGAGGAGACTTAATGAGAGGGCCGAGGGCGCCGGCCGGGGGGCGCGGCAGACTATTGGCATTTGACCTTCGCCTGCGGGATAACAATTCATGGTTTGCAGACAATAACAAGCGGTTTGGTGGCGAGGGAGCTGTCTACCAGGCCGGAGGGGGGAGAGAAAAGGGGGATCTGACCTTCGGATTCGCTAATTACCATCATTAACGCACTGATTCTCCGCAGGGACTAATTATCTTGTGAACAAAGGCTTTTTAGGCGGAGGAAGCCTCCTGTAAATCCCGCTGCAAGACCTCTCGCGTGTCCAGAGCCAGCAATTATCAGGGAAGTGAGGGAGATCAAGAGAGGGAGATCCGGCGTGGAGAGGCCCTTCCACCACCCTCGCGGCCGCGCACGAACGCCCTGCACAAGCGGGCTGCACTCCGCCCTGGCCCCGAGGGATGAGGCTTCAATCCGATCAGATGAGAGGCTTCGAGGCCGGGATTAAGCGGGGGAGAGCATGGCCATCGCCAGCACATAATGGAGGCATGAAGCGCTCATCACGGCGGAGAGAGCTCGCTGCCGACGCTCAGCTTCCCGGGCTCATAAACAGCTTTCGGTGCGCATTGCAACGTGGAATGCGCCCGACAGAGGCAGCGGCGTCGACCGAATACTAATGCAGAGCGAATCTCAATTGTGTTTGTCGCCTTTGTCGCCGACTAGCGCCAAAGAGGATATTATCGCCTCAAACATCAAAGCTTATGATGAATGAGCGCCAACGAGATTTGTCCAAAGGCTTGTAGATTATTCAAAGTCAAAAGAAAAGCGTCAGCGTGGGGGGTGGGGGTGTTTGGGCGGGTGGGTAGGTGGGGGAGTCACGAACCAATTTGGCTCCACACGGGATGAATTGAAAGGGGAAGAGCGGGTAGAAAGAGGACGCTCTAACTCGTAAATATTAAGTCGTAGTGTTTCAGTATCTCCACCCACAGACCTCCATCCTCTAAGCGCCCATAAGTCTCCCTCGAACCCTAGCTTCGAAACATGATTCATAACCCATGAAACATACCCAAAGCACAGTCTCTCACAGATGCACTCAAGGATGACCTTCTGGCGTGTTTTCCTCTCTCACAGAACCCCCAGGTGCCCTCGAAGGCTGCCACTACCACGACGTCACCACAGACTCTGCTACCGTGACCTGTTCGCCGGGGTCTTCGATGTCGGTCCTACCACAGCTCTACCACATCGAGGTGAGTCCCGTCGACGCTTCGATGCTTCGGGTTTCTGTCAGTTTGGTTCATTAGTGTTCATGACTTTATCTATTTCTGTTGTGTTGATAGATAGACAGACAAACTTACAGACAAGCAGATAGGCAGATAAATAAATAGATAGACTGGTAAATAAATAGGTAGAGTGACAAACATACAGACAGACAAACAGACAGGTAGACAGATAAATAAATAGACAGAGGTATACAGACGGAGAGCCATGTGGATCGACAGACAGGCAAACAGATAGATAAGTAGGCAGACAGATAGCCAAATATTGATTAATAGACAGGTCTATGTAGATAAACAGATAGGTAGACAGACAGACAAACAGATAGATATATATAGAGTGAAATACATTGACAACAGACGGACACAAGTAGATAGATAAATAGATAAATTAAAAGGTATGTATGCTAATTTCTTCCTTTCGTATTCATAGCCCATGCAATAAGCCTGTGAATAAAGGTAAAAAATCGAGGCTAAACTACATTTGTAATTCATATAAATATTGAATATAGCAAGGATTTTTTTTTTTTTTATGTAAGCCCATGCATCAGCCAATGTTACGTATCGGTTCACTGGAAAATATTCACAGGAAGTTGAAATTGATCATACTCCTGGAATACAGAGAAAACACTATTGCACATGTTTATGCGTGACTAAATTTGCAAAGTGCAATGCAGATATTTTCAAGCCTGAATATAGATTAGACCCCCCTAGAGTGGAGCTTAAAGAAAATGTAAGTGACCGGATTTGAAAGATGATGACTTACACGAATTCTATCTCTCTGTTACCACGAATCTATGAGCTTGTCTATTTCGATGAATCAGTGTATTTGCATATTTACAGTGCGTGTCTGTCTGTCAACATATATGGAATTACTTGCAGTTTATATTTTCATACGTATTCATCTTTTTGCTAAACAGATGGACAAAGAAATGGGTAAGGTTGGGAGATCGTTGCATGCATGGGTAGATAGACAGAAAGATAGATAGATAGATAGACAGATAGATACATAGACATACAGACAGATAAAAGGACAGACAGAAAGATAGACAGACAGATAGAGATATAGACAACCTGGTAGATATACAGAGAGACAGAAAGATAGATAACCAGGTAGATATACAGACAGATCAATCGATAGATTCTTGCAGCGAAAGACAGGCACGAATCGACCCTCCCCTCCCTAGGCTCCCCCCCCCTCCAGCCCCTTCTCGCCATGACCGCCCCTCCCCTTGCAGGTGCGTGAGGGGAACCGCCTAGTGTCAGCGCACAACAAGAGCGAGCCGCGATTCGTGCTGACGGAGCTGTCACCCGAGCAGGACTACGTGCTGACCATGTACGCCTCACACGCCAAGGGCCGCGGTGAGGAGAGGACGCTGTTGCTCAAGACCCACACGCCGAAGCCACAGCAGGTTCTCCCGAAGGATGTGTCCGTGAACTGTGAGTACGGGGAGGGGAAGGGGTTTGTGTGGGAGGGGATGGGGGGTGGGGGTGGAGGGGATGTGTATGTGGGGAATGGGGGGGGGGGAGGAAGAAGTTTGTGTGTGTGTGCTTTTGGGCGTTTGGAGCGTATGTGTCGTGTGTGTGCATGTGTGTGTATGTATGTGTGTGTGTGTGTGTGTGTGCATGTGCGTAGTTGTGTGAGTACCGCAGTAGATAAATCCACCTGACAAACTCGTACCCAGACCAATTTGCAATCTAATCCATTCTGAATGAATGATATACTGCACACACGTATTCGTATCAAACACAACTTGACCCAACCGTCTCTCGAGATAGACAGCTCGATAGAAACACGAACAGATACACAAAGTAGACAGATAGATAGATAGAAGGACTAACAAGCGATGCAAACGAGACGAGGAACAGGAGCCTCTTCCACCCCTGACCAACGCCTTCTTTTCTCCCTCAAGCAGTCAACAAAGTCTCTGAAGTGGCGCCCACCGTCGCGGCGGGGGGCGGCGGAGGCCCTCAGGTCAGCGTCGTGGTCGCCGGAGTCGTGGGCGTGGTGGTGGGCGTAGCTATCGTCGTGGCAGTGGTCGTGACCTGCAGGGCGAGGCGAGGTCACACGTCGTCGCCGGGGAAGTCGGAGCAATACCACCACTCGAAGGACTCGCTGCTGGAGCTCCCTCAGGGCTCCATGTACCAGACCTGCACTCGGCACCCGTCGCGAGGTGAGTGGGGCGTGGGCGGGCGTGTTCGGAGGGCGGAGGTGTGGGTGGGGTATATAACGTGGGCGGGGTATGAGTGTAGATAGGGTAAAAGCGTGGGCGGGGTATAAGTGTGGAGAGGGTATAAGTGTGGGGGGATATCAGTGTGGATAGAGTATAAGTATGGGGGGATATAAGTGTATATAGGGTATAAGTGTGGACGGGGTATGAATATATATAGGGCATAAGTGTGGGCGGGATATAAGTGTGGATAGGGTATAAGCGTGGGTGGAGTATAGATGTGGGTTGGGTTTAAGTGTAGGTGAGCGTGTGTTCGGGTTGGGCGTGTGGGTTGAGTAGATTGGGCGTGAGGATGAGTTGGGTGGGTGGGTGGGTAGAGGGTAGGGCTTTGCCTGATAGTGGATATGGGTACATTCATCTATGGGTGGGTTGGGGGCGGTGGAAAGGAGATTAGTTGGTAAAAAGACACGTGTCTTTGA